CAGTTTATGTACTGAGCATGACGTCACATGGTATGGAATGTCCCTTTGGCCAGTTTGGGTCAGCTGTCCTGGCTGTGCCCCCTCCCAGCTTCTTGTGCACCTCCAGCCTTCTCAGTCAGTAGAGCATGGGAAGCTGAAAAGTCCTTGACTAGTGTAAGCTCTACTTAGCAACAACTAAAACATTGGTGTGTTATCAACATTGTTCTCCTCCTAAATCCAAAACACAGCACTGTACCAGCTACTAAGAAGGAAATTAACTCTATCCCTGCCAAAACCAGGACAAGGGAGCTGTCTCAGCTGCCTCTGCCTGGGGAGGAGGCTGGTGTAACACCTGGTGAGGGGTGATGTGGCTCCTCTGACCAGAAGTGAAATGAATGTTGAATGCCTTGCTGAGTGCTCCTCACAAGGGCAGGGATGACTTTAAACTGTAGGATGTGTCCTTTCTCTGTTCCTATTTGTCTGGACAACAGAAATTAAGGTAATTTCCATCTTTCAGCCAACTTCTGCTCTCACTTGTACCATTATGCATATATACTGAAAACAGTTGCATGATTTGTATTTCATGTGTGACGCTAACATGTTCTTAGTCTGTTGATTCAATCACATCAATTTTTCATCCCCTTTGCATGTGTCTTAGCTGAAAATCCATGCACAGCATTTCTTATTTCTAGAGTAGAAAAGGGGAAGATAAAATACAGTAGAGCAAAAATGCAGGTTTTGATCCCAGGAGTTTTACACTGAATCTGAAGCAAGAAGGAAAAGATCCAAGTGCCTCAGGTTCCTACAAGGTGCTCCTTACTATCACCAACCAGTCGGAGGGCTTCCCAGCTGGTACAAACATAATATCAAAGCACATACTTAGTCCTGATCAGCCATCCAGGAGGTCTGATGCTTTATAGGCTGGAGCCTCCATCTGTAATTACATGGAGCCTGCACCAGGTGACACGGCACGGCATGCTGCATCATATAGATCGGTTATAATCAAGCATGCAGTGCAAAGCTACGTTTCCCCTGAGAATGATGAACCACCTCTGAGGGCAGGTCAGCAGTGAGGTCCTCCATTGAGGTCTCATCTGCACTGGGAGCACAGCGCGGAGGTACCACGTGCCAGGCAGCCTGCAGTCAGTGTGAACAATGGTGGTGCAACACCTGCAGCACCTGAACCCACAGCAAACAGGAGCAGCAGAGCTAGATCGCATGATTTCAGATTCCTCAGTGGACACGAGGTGAGGAGGGAAGCTGAGGACACCATCCTGGGAAAGGTGCAATAGCTGAGGGAGGAAGAGCAACAGCTGAGGTAAGTGGAGGCTAAATTGCCACCTCTCCAAGAGTGAGCTGGGGAGACGATATGACCTGATGAGGACAAGGCACCTGGGAGTTGGTGGGTGCTTGAAAACTGAGGAGCTGAATGTGGTGGTGGGTGCTGCAGTGCACCTTGGCCTCCCCCAGGCTCCCTGAATGCCAAGGTGTAGCTCCTGGCAGGTGGGCAATCCTGCCCTGGGGCTTGCTGGCGCTGAGCTGCCAGCATAGGAGGAGAGTGTAAGTGGTGAACACAGTGGTTGGCACTGTCATCTCATCCATGGAGAAACTTTACTCTTTGCAAAGAGGCTCCTCTGCTCCCTTAGGACAGCTGCTAGGGAGGAGTCATACCTCCAACCTGAGCTGAAACAGGACACGATGATGGTCAAGACCTCAGTCTAACCCATGTATTGCTTAAGTGTCATCTGTACTGTCAAGCAAAACCAGAGAGCATGACAGCCTCGGCAGGGACTTGTCCTGCATGCCTGAAGATGGCAGCATGGTACAGACTGAGGGCCACAAGCACAATTTCCAGTTAGGACTGTGCCTCTGGTGATAAACGTGCCAGGGCCACTTGCTGTCACAGTACTGAATCCCACACATTCCTTGCCTCCAAAACTGGGTGACCACATCCCAATGGATAGATGGTCCCTGGCCTGTGCTGCCTGTGCCAAGCTCTGGCTGACCTGAGCCACCTGCCCCTATAGATGGCATTAAATGCTGGCAGCCAGCAGCACTCCCTGGCATGCTTTCCTGGAGTAGACATAACCTTCCTGTCCTCCAAAGGCAGCGTGTCTTTTCCTGGCTGTAGCAAGCAGATTCTGCTTTCACTAATCCAAAAAGGAAAATGTCACCAGCACAATTTTGGCTTGAGTGGTGGAGTTTCCTTCTTGTGACTGTACTTCCAAAGAGATCAGTGGCAGGTCTCTCAGTGGCATCACTCAAATCAGGATCCAAACACAGTGCTGCAGGTAAGCATTCATCCAGGATAGTGTTAATTTAGACTTTGAACCGTTGGCTGGAGCCATTACTGATTTTTCTATACCTATTTTTTAGCTTAATTTCATAAAGACATGAGGCTACTGTGACCATGCTACCCTTGTATGTTCACCTGATTGTATGTCATCTTCCAAGTCCCAGTAATTTTTGACACTGTTTGGCCAGTTTCAACCATCCAGTTGGGATTAAATGCCTACGTGCAGACAGGCACACAGGCAGAGGGCAGCAGCCCCCAGAAAGGGGTGATGTGAGCTCTGTTCCTGTCACACCCCTGAGAATCAGCAGGCCACAGAGATGCACCGAGCACTCAGTGTGGGGATGCTTCCGTCACAGCTTGGAGATTTTTAGATATCAACCAACCTCAAGATGAAAATCTGTAAGAAACATGGCTTCTTCCATTCTTAGTGCTTATACTTGTTGATACTGGTACTGCTCAGCTTTTTAAGTTTCCGCAGTGCTGAACCTCGGTGACAAAGAATCGTATATATGGTGAAGTGTTTAGGAGTTTGATACCATTCCAGAAAACTTAAAAAACAGTAGCAGATTTGAAAGTCTTGGCACCTGGGATACTTACATTAAAAAACAATGCACCCTCAACCTTCATGTAGTAGAAGCTTAATATTAAAAGTTGTCACCGACCATACTGGTTTAGAAATGTCTTAGTTTCTGACTTCTTAAGTATTTAAGATCTTGACATTGCTTTGAGGGTAAATCTTTAGTATCTACCTGTTCATGCTCTAGTCATAAGAGGAAATGACTCCTTTCTTTCCCAAAAACAGGACCAATAAGATAGTTTCACTGCTTCTTTTTGTCTCTTAAAACAGAAGCCTCTGCAGCGGCAGTTTAGTTATTGCGTTGATTTTCACCAAAATTTTGGTTTGATTGTTGCAGTTCTTCGAAGTAGCTGCTGGAGAACAGTGCGAGATTTGCACAGACAAATGGATGAAGAACATTATCCACCTGACTCAGATGATAATTACTCATATGAATACTCTTTTAATGAAAGCAATGTCTGCGAAATGGGCGACTATTTTGTGTTTTACACTCATCTCACTACTGTCCTCTACACTCTGACATTTTTGCTCAGCCTGCTAGGAAACACTCTAGTGTTATGGATCCTATTCAAATATGAAAACCTTACATCTTTAACGAACATCTTCATCATGAATCTCTGTGTCTCTGATTTAGTCTTCTCCTGCATGCTGCCTTTCTGGGCAGTGGACCAGTCCTTTGGGTGGATTTTTGGTGAGTTCCTTTGCAAAGCAGTGAATGCTGTTTTCTCCATTGGCTACTACAGCGGTGTTTTCTTTTTGACTCTCATGACTATCCTGCGGTACTTGTCCGTAGTGAACCCCCTCTCGACTTTGAGATCCCAGACACAGTGCTGTGGTTTTCTGGTGAGCTTGGTTGTTTGGACTGGTAGCATATTAATTGTTGTTCCTGAGATGATTCACACCACAGTGCAAGAAAACTTGGAAGGGGACAAGACCTGTGATTATGCTGACTGGAAATGGAAAAAGGTGGACATTTATCAGAGAAATGTACTTTTCCTGTTTTCCTTTGGGGTTATCGTATTCTGTTACTTCAAGATACTGCTAATCCTGCTCGGAGCAAGATCTCGCAGAAAGCACAGAACTGTGAAACTCATCCTTATTATTGTGGTGGCTTTTTTCCTGAGCTGGACACCTTACAACATCCTCAGCTTTCTGATTACTTTTCCACCACCTAACTGTCAGTATGAAAAAGACTCCAACCTTGCCTTTCACATCAGCCGTAAAATTGCTTTCTCCCACTGCTGCCTCAACCCTGTGCTCTATGTATTTGTTGGAGTCAAGTTCAAGAGGCATTTGTTACGTTTATGCAGTCAGTATTTGCCCTGTGGGAATGGTCAAGTCTCCAGCCCCAGGATCTGCTCTCAAGGCAAATTCCACTATGAAGATGAGTCCATCTACTGAAGCGAGATCTAACTATTAGCACTAATCCCAGATGAACTTTCAGATTTTAAAAGCCACGGATAATCTCTAATTCTTAGAGGCACTTCCCTGAGAAAGGCACACAAATTTACTCTTTGCAAACATGCTGTGTATGGAAAGTAATAAAAAAATGTATTTGCAGTAGGATGGAGAGCTGAGAATGCTGAGAGATTACTTCATTGGCCTGTAAGTCTTATCTTTATGATTTTTTGCGCAGTGAGATGGATTTTCTCTCATTTATAGTTTCTTTTAGCTTCCTTTGGGAGCTAAAACATCCGGTTTTAACATAAATGGTATTGCAGGTTACTTTCTTGCCTGACTTAAAATAGTTGGATTGTATGTAGCAATGGACCCATATGTATTTCTGTAGCTTTTAATGCTTTACAGTGTTTATCAGTGCTGAACTCATTGGTTCTGTCTTTTTGAGGCTCTCAGGATTTACTGGCCTGACAATAGCTACAAGACCTCAGAATCTCTGAAATTCTCAGTACAAATTCTCTTTTACCTGTCGGTAGGTAAATATTTATAAAACTAGCTTAGTGTAAAGGTAGTCCTTTGGGTCCGAAATGGCAAGTTTGGGAGAACCCTAGAAGGAACACAAGCTGTTAAGAAGATACTTCACTAGGATATTGGTTTTCCTTCTGTTAGTGCTCCTGCCCCAGGCACCTTTCAGTCTCTGAATATCCCTTCAGGTGGTTGCAGTGAATCGGCAGTCCATCTCCTGAGCAGCACAGGTGCATATTTGCCTCTAAATGCTGTCTCCCTCCTTTTCTCCCTTTGCCATGGTACTGAGAATAATTAAACTTTCTAAAAAGGTTATAATGCAAGAAAAAATGGCTTTTTTAATAGCAGGATAGAAATAGCTTGCTTTATTTGTAAAAGGAATGTTTAGCCCTATTTTTTTTTTTTAGGAAGTTGGAGCAGCAGGTTTTAGCCTATATACTTGGATGCTTACTGCTTCACAGAGATGTTTAAATCTTTGCTTAAAACCTGATCGTCAAAGCCAGCCATGTGCTTGTTTTTGACATGCTTCACATCTGTCTAAATACCAGATATGCTCGTATCCTTGAGGTGTGCGAGTATCTGGTCTAACCAGCTGCCTGGCCAAACACAAGTCTTTCGTTTCATGCATGCATCTCATCTCCACGGGCAGGTGGGAAGGAAAGTCCAAACATTTGCATGAACCTAACCTTGAAAATGTTGCTAAGAGGGCTAGTTGCATTAAGTGCAGGAGTGTTTTTACATGACCGCTAAAACATGATTTCCTACCTAAAACCAAGCTGAGGTAATTCAATTCAATTCAATAGCATGCATTTTTGCAACAAAACCATTCACATTCTGATTACACCAATCAAACCTTGTGGCTTTTTTTCTCATGGAAACTGATATTCTTCTTCATGATAGTTTGGTGGGTTTATTTTTTCCTCAGGCAGTGTAACATGTAGTGTGTACTCCAGTGTAGCTGAATGACAAAGCCTCTGGAAACCAGAATATTTCATTTCCTAGCATTTGTATAGAAAGCCAAGGTAGCTTTGCAGTGACACCAAGCAATGGTTTGGCAATGGTTCTAAGCAACAATTTGGCTTTTTGGGCAGCCATCTTAAAATGTTTCTGTGTTGTTTCCGCACTATTTCATTTGATCTCTAAAGATCATCTGGAGCAAACAACAAATTCTTCTCAGCTGCTGTATAGTTTATAAAAAGCAGAAACTCAGGCATGCCCATAGCACAGTATCCTATTTCTGGTTGTATACAGAAGCAAGAATACCTAGGGAAAAGCATAAGAATGGGGCAAACTTATATGACACATATCCAACTAGTCTTCCTAGGGCTTGCCCATAGTTTCTAGTGTGTGCTTCAGTTTAGCTGCCAGAAGAAAAATGATCGTGTCTTGTCTCTTATCATCAGATGTGCCTTTCTGAACAAGTCAGTCCTGGTATCCCATTACTACAGTTATTGGCTAAAACTTAAAAAATTAAAAAGGTTACTCACTAATCCCACAGGGAACTCACTTGTATTCAGAGAAACCATGGAAAGGTGGAAGTTGTCATTTGTCTGGGTGTGGTGGAGACCAGCCTTTGGCTCTTGTCTCCTGATAAGAGACATTTGAAATGAATGTGGTTGCTTCTATACACTTCAAGAGACTTTGGACTGGGGACTCAATACCTTCAATTATGAAGAGACAACCTACTGAAGGACAAATGAGTCCAAATTCTTCTTCTTCTGTTCTGGTAAGCCAGGACCACTTCACTGGCACCAGCAAAGCTCTACAAGAGGAAATCGCTGTGACGATGAGTAAAAGATGGTCTCGTGCACCTACATCATTTCAACAAACTGTCATTCAACTCGTTGTCCTAGAGCTACACTACCCTGAAATCTTTACTGTCAATACATTTTACATTTATCTAAAAAAAGTCAAGAAGTATAACAGAAGCACGAGAGATTGAAATGATCCTGCTCTGCCCAGTTCTTAACAAGTTATTTAAATCTGTAGCTTGAGCATATTTTGTTACAGTATATCTAAGCGTGTAAAGGGAATGCTTAATATTACCCAACTGTACTGCTGCCTACCATAACCAAAGTAACTTAGCATGTGGAGATTTCCTCTCCTGATATAATGAAGTGCTACTAATAAACATTCAGAAATTAATGGAATACTACATTATGACTATTATTCTCCGCCTTTGATAACCACCTATTAAAGTTAAGGTATTTTCAACTGAAGAAGTAATTGTGAATTTTCATAGATCAATTTAGCTTGGAAGAGACTTTTGGAGGTCATCCACTCCTCCACCCTGCTCACAGCAGTGGTATCTTCCCAGTCAGACAAAGTTGCTCACGGCCTTGTCTGGTCAAACTCTGAAAATCTCCAAGAACAGGGACTGCATAACTCCTCTGGGTCCCTGTTCCAATGCTTAACAACTCTCATGATGGATTTTTTTCCTTCTACATGAACAGAATTTCTTTTGCTGCAACCTGGTGATGTTGCCTCTTCCTTGCCTTCTCTATGTCTTCGCATTACATAATGGAAAAGAGCCATCAGATCTCCCTTAAGCCTTGTTTTTCCTGGGGTTAAACAAACCCCAGCCAATCTAGTCTCCTCATATATCATGTACTCCAACTCCCCAACCATCTTGATGGTCCTCCATTGGGCTCACTTCAGTCAGTCAATCTCTCTCTTGTATTGGGGGCCCCAAAACTGGATATGCTACTGCAGATGTGACCACATGAATGTCAGGTAGAGGGGAATAAAGGTTCCCCTCAACCTGCTGGCAATGCAGGCCCATACACAGTTAGTCTTCACTGCTGCAAGGGCACATGACTGAGTTGTGTTCAAGTTGTTGTCCACTCGAACCCCCAGATCTTTTCCAGCAAAGCTGACCTCTAGCCACGTGGCCCCCAGCCCATGCTCTTGCAGGGGGTTAGGCCATCCCAGGTGCAGGATTTTGCATTTGCCATTGTTGAATGTCCAGGGCTCCTGTCAGCTCGTTCCTCAAGCTTTCTGAAGTTTCCTTGCATGGCAGCCCTGCAACTCAGTGTATCAACTGCTCCCTCTTATTTGGTGTCATCCATGAGCTTGCTGAAGGTACACCCTGTCCCATCATCCAGGTTGTTAATGAAGATGTTAAACAGTATCAGGCTCAGTATTGACCCTCAAAGCATGCCACTCATAACCAGCCACTCATTAAGACTCCAAACCATTGACCACTACCCTTTGAGCCTGATGGTCCAGTCAGTTTTTCATCCACTTTATAGTCCACCCATTCAGTCTATATCTCCCCAATCTGGCTACGAGGATGCTGTGGGGGGACTTTGTCAAAAGCCTTGCAGAAGTCAAGGTAAATGACATGCACAGCTTTCCCCTCATCCCCAGAGCCAGTCATCTCATTGTAGAAGACAGTCGAGTTGGTCAGGCACTACTTTTTCTTGATAAATCTGTGCTGGCTGTTCCCAAACATTTTTGTCCTGCATCTGTATGGTAATGGCTTCCAGGAGGATTTGCTCCACCATCTTCCAGGGCACAGGGGTGAGATGGACCAGCCTATAGTTCCCTGGATTGTCCTTCTTGCCTTTTTTGAAAACGGGCATGACCTTTGCCTTTTTCAAATCATCAGGGACCTCCCCTGATCACCATGGCCTTCAGATGCAATAGATAGCACCTTGCAATGGTGTTGGGCAATGCCCTCAGCACAATTACATTCATCCTGCGCAGTCCCGCAGACAACTCTATGTCCAATCTACTTAAGTAGTCCCAAAGCAATTCTCCTCTGCCATGGGTAGTACCCCTCTCTTCAAACTCTGCTACTAGGCACAGAGACCTGTAAGGCACTTGGAGCTATATGCATTGTCAAGAGGAAATATGTTGGTGTAGCTTCCGTCTTTGTTTATACACGTTATTAAATATCTGTATTGCTAAAGCCACAGGATATGCCCAGTGCAGGTCTGGGGATGGGCAGCCTGTGCATCTCTTTCCTTCTGGGAACTCCAGATGCTTGGAAAATACAGGCTGCTCTGGGTAAAACATAATGCTCAGGGGACCTTGAATCTTTAATTTCAATCAATCAATCAACTATTATGTGGTCTGAGCAAATGTAGAACTGAGAGAAAGAAGTTTGTGAAGTGAAAAAGGAGAAATTAATTGCTTTTGGAAACCACAGTCTATTTGGGGGAGGGGAGCAGTGTCAGATTGAGTGGTCGCAGTATTACAACTGTTGTACAGTGCCAGGCGTGCCTTTACGCAGGATGGCACCTCTAACCCTAATTGCAAGTTACAGTTAAATGGACATGCTCTTACTGCTTTAAGTCTGTATTAAGTTCCACCCAGTGGGAATGAGAGAACAACCAGCTTCTCCTGCAAGCACTTAGCTGGATTGGGCCCCTCTCCCTACCCGTCTTTTCAGCAGGTCAACACAAAACTGAGCATCACTGCCATAGCCTGTCAGAGCTCCCACCTTCTGTGCAGCTGTTTGAACCTGTACTAGTCAATGATCTGCCAGTAGGGAAAACCCTCACTGGTAAGGGGTAAGGCAGGTAATCAAATTAATCCTTTCCACCACTAATGGAAACTGTCTTAAATAAAATAAGCAAACTTAAAATCCACACATTTAAGAAAGCATCCTGCTCCTACTAAAATCAATGATAATTTTGCTTCTGATCAT